TGTTGGCCATCTGCATTTCCTCTTTGGAGAAGTGTCTTTTTAGCTCTACTGCCCATTTTTTGATGGGGTTGTTTATTTTTGTTTTATGTTTTTTTTTAATCCGCTCTGACCGTCTCTTTTTTTTTAAGATTTATTTATTTATACGTATGTAACTGGGGTACAGGCCAGAGGTGCAGGGGCTGTGGGGGGATTCACCAGAGACAGAGTGGGGAGCAAAACAGGCAGATCAACGACGTACACTGCTGAGGGGAGCAGTGGGCAGGTCAGGAGAGGTCTGCCGCGCCATGTGGGTCACCTCCGGGGCTGGGGATCAAACTCATGCTGAAGTGGTTTTAGCTTCTCAGTGCTGTGCTTTAACCTACTGCGCCACCTGGGAGGGCCCTGTCTTTGTCTTTTTAATAAATTTCTTAATGCATTTACTTTTAATGTAGTTAATACATGTTGAATGGACCATTGGTGCTTTCTGTTTGATTCTTCCCTTTCTAACATTCTTTTAGATTAATTATTGTAGGCAAAGGGTAAAATAAATTTTATTCCTCTGTTTAATAAGTTAACCTTCATTAATTTCTGGCTCAATTCCCATGTTAAGCTGGTAAGATGTGTATGAAATATGTTACTAGAGAGCATCATTTATGATAAAAAATTACCCCTTTTGGGCCCTCCCTGGTGGTGCAGCAGGTTATAGCACAGCACTAAGAAGCTTAAGTCACTTCTGCATGAGCTCGATCCCCGCCTGCCCTGGAGGAGATCCACATGGCGAGGCAGACCTCTCCTGACCCACCTGCTGTTCTCCTCAGCAGTGTACTTAGATGATCTGCCTGTTCTGCTCGCCACTCCATCTCTGGTGAATCCTCTCACCCTTCACAACTCTGGCCTGTACCCCAGTTCTGTATGAATAAATAAATAAATCTTTTTTAAAAAATTACCCCTTTTGGTAAGTTGTATATGTAATAGGAGAACAAGTGTCAGTTCAGGAGATAGCATACTTGGTACTTCCCTGTATAATGTGACCCATGTGTTTAGCATGGCCCTCTCAAGACCCTGGAACCTATATTTGCAAAATTGTTTTAAGAGATCTCAGCTTCTGTGGAACATGAGTTTCTAACCAGAGTCACGTCCCATACCTGCCTAGGTGCATCTCATTTCCTTGCATCCAGGCTGCCACCAGACTGCTGTGTGGATGGCTGCAAAAGTCACTAGCCTGGCTCCTGGCAAGCATGTACTTTTCCTCCCGAGTAGACTCATACCAAGTATAAACTATGAACATTTGGTTCAGAGTATGGAATGGGACTGAATATGAAGCTCTTTCCTTCTACCCCCACCCCACTTTCAGTATTGCCATTATTTTTATTTTTCTCTTTATTCCCTTGCTGTTTTGAAAGCTTTAATCTTAATCTTGTTTTACCTGAATTATTGCAATATCATTCTTTATTATAAATATCTAATATTACTTAGCGTCTTTTCCTGGACATTGTAAAGCCAGTATAACATTTGAATTCCATTGGCCTTCCTCCAAACTTGTATGCTGATTTGATCATATATTTATATTATATATATGTATAAGTCCTCACTGTCATCGGTAAGCTCTCAGAAACCATGACTTTAAGCAAAACAATAGGTTTTCAAATAACTTCATTTCATTTGGTGTCAGTCAGGATTCCTTATTTCTTACCAATGTTATAATAAAATGGTTTTGAGTGTATGTATATGTATATATATTTTAAGCCAGTGGGACGATGATATTAATTTCATCATCATCATTACTGCTACTGCATTCTGCTTAGATTTGTTCATTTGTCATTTCTTTTCTCCTCTTCCATTATCACTTCTGTCTGGATCATTTTTCTTCCATGGGAACTTTACCCAGTTATATAAGAGATCTGATACTGATAAATTCAGGTTTTGTTTACCTAAAAATATTTTACCCTGTTTTCGTTCTTGAATAGTAAAATTACAGCTTGCAGTTTCTTTCAACACTTCAGAGATAATACATCTTTGCTTATGCATTCCATATGGGTTTCTTTGAGGCTTGTTTGGTTTTGGTCAGTTTTTTTTGTTTTTTTGAGAAGTCATTTTTCAGTCTATTTGATGTTCTTTAAGGTAACCACCTTTTTTTTTTCTAGCTGCTTTTCTTTAATTTTTCAGAAGCTTTACTGAGATATATACGTAAGTGTGGATATTTTTTCTTATTCTGCTTGGAGTTTGTAAAATTCCTTTTTTTATAACAGCTTGATTTATTTCATCAGTGTTGGGAAGTTCTTGGCTATTAGCTCAAATATTGCTTCTGCCCCTCAGGGCTGCAGTTCTTAGACCTTTTCACTGTCACTTCTGTTCTTCTTGACCTCTGTTCTTTGTTTTCCATCTTTTTCTATCTCCATGCTTCTCACCTGCCTTCTGGTTCACTTTTTTCTAATTTTCTCTTCAAGTAATCCCCTGAGCTTATATGTACTATTTTTGAGTTCTAGGTTTTATGTTGGTTTGGTTCCTTTTTCTCCTTATCATTTCTACTTCTCTAAAAAATTGTTAATACTGTCTTTTACCATCTTGAACATGGTAAACAGTTATTTAAATATCACTTTCTGGTAACTCCAGAACCTGGACCCCTGCAGGTTTGTTTATTTTGTATGTTGTTTACTATTTCTAATTCATGTTCTCTTAACTCCTTACATGTCTGGTTCATTTTTAATTTGTTCCAAACATTGTATTTGCAAAATTGTCCATACACTATTTGAGAGCCAAGTCATGTTCTTTCTCCTGGGAAGATGTATCTTTAACTTCTATTAAACACCTAGGAGCACTAGTGTTCTAAATCATCTCTTAGAATTTCAAGGGATGATGTAATTCAAAGCTGACCTATGGTACCTGTGAGGGATGGTCTGCTTCTGACTCCCTTGTTACTATGGCAGCCTTTTTTGGATCTTAACCCAGAGTAAGAAGAGCTTACCCAGCACCTTATTTTTATCAAGCTCTAATCTCCAGTCTCTGTCTCTAGCTCCATGAGGCTGTCATTGCCTCTTCTAAAATTGGCAAATTTCATGAGGAAAAAGGTGGTCTCGAATCTGGGCTGTGCTCTGTGGTTCTTCCTTCTCCTGGATTCTTGCCCTGTAATTCCCCCATCTTGTTAGCACACCAGCTTCTCTAAGCTAATACTTCGTATTTTGCTGGGTTGGCTGATTTTTTTTTTTTTTTTTTTTTTTTTAAAGATTTAGTTATTTATTCATACAGAACTGGGGTACAGGCCAGAGATGCGGAGGGTGAGAGGATTCACCAGAGACAGAGTGGGGAGCAGAACAGGCAGATCGACGAAGTACACTGCTGAGGGGAGCAGCGGGCGGGTCAGGAGAGGTCTGCCACGGGGTTGGCTGATTTTTATGTCACCTGCATGGGTATCTTTGTTAGTTACATAGTCTGTTATCACTAAAGTAGAGGCCCTTATATCCTCTTTTCATAAATGAGTACATTCGGTCTAGACAGACTTGATCATAGCCAATTAAGAGCAGAGACAACCAAGACCCAAGTTTCCTGATCCTGTGTAATGCTTGTTCTGTTGCACCAGCATGAAGCATCTAGATAGACCTAGGAGCCTTCCAGTAACTGTGCTCAGTGCCACTCTATTCAGCAAGCTATGAAGATCCTACATCCCAGGAAACTTGTAGAAAATCCTCAATAAACAGCCCTCCCACTTCCCCATTTCATTACATTTGATTTAAATTTATTATAGTCCTTTTCAATAGCAAGCTATAACTTCCCCATATAAATATTCCATTTAAAGGCTATTATAGACTCAGTTAGCATTTTATTATCCATCACTTTTTAATTAACATTCTGCTTGTGTTTTATAATAATATACTTAATATCTACTTAATATCTTAGCCAACGATTTATATTCTACAATAGGCAAGAAGTAGTATCAGTTATCTATTAACGTATAACAAATTACCCTAAAATGTAGCAATTAAAATAATAAGGACTTACTATTTCTCACAATTTGGAGGGTTGGCTGGCCAGTTCTGCTGATTTCAGCTGGGCTCTCCTAGTGAGTGGAGTGTTCTAATGGCTGACCCATATGTCATCAACGATGACTGGGATATTTGACTTCTTTCTTCATTAGTCTTTGGTCTGAGCTTCTCCACATGAGGAAAGAAGTGTTCCAAAAGAACAGACCTCTCAAGGCTGAGTCTCAATAAGTAGCCCAGTATTGCTTTTGCCACAGTTAAAAGCAAGTCACAAAGCCATTCAAATAAAGGATTGAAAAGGTGGATTCAAAGAATGGAATGAAAATATAGCAGGGGTCTGCCTAATAGCTTGACAGTCTTCACAACAGTTCATCTTTACCATAGCTGCTACTTCTTTCTATTAAATTTTCTTCAGTTATTTTTTTTATTTTGCAGTAACATCTTCTGTTACTTTTTACCATGTTTCCAGAAATACACAAAAACTTTGTATGTTTACATATCTCACTTATTTATTCCCTAGCTCTATGTTCTTTCTGTTATTCCTGATAAATCCTAAAATATAAGAGAAAAATTTACCTGAGAACTTACAGTCTTGGGGGGAAAGAAAGAATAATTATTCACAAATATATGCCTGGGAAATTAGAAGAAAGAATAATTATTCACAAATATATGCCTGGGAAAATATATGCCAGCTTAATTTGACTCAGTAAACACTAATTGCATGTTAGTGTCCTAATTGTGGACCCTGGATTTCTCTCCAGTGAAACTTATCATTTGCTAATTATTTTTAGGAACCCTATTACGTACGTTGCATCAAACCAAATGACAAGAAATCCCCACAGATTTTTGATGATGAACGCTGCCGGCATCAAGTGGAGTATCTCGGACTATTGGAAAATGTGAGGGTGCGTCGGGCGGGATTTGCCTTCCGCCAGTCATATGAGAAGTTTCTTCACAGGTGAGACTAGACCAAACAAAGAGACCTGATAACACACCCCTAATGATGACCCTCCACATGTTTGACATGCATCCCCACATAGTAATCTGGTTGTTTGCCGAATAAACAAAAAGGTCAAGGAAGTATCTAAGAATCTCCCAGAAGCAGCAGAAGTCTCCAGAATTCCTGGTTTATAGATTTTGGAAACAAGTTTGTCCTTCAGTGGCAGGAAAATGTGGACACTGTAGTAGGGCAGAAAGAATATGGATTTGGGGTCACATGTGGGCTGAAGTCCCAGCTATGCATACATTGGCTGCATGATGTTAGGCCAGAATTTAGCTTTTGTTACTCTTATGTGTCTGTATCCATAAAAATGAGTCTTTGATGCCAATATCATAAAGCTGTTGTTGAGAGGATTAAATTAACATGAGTGAAAAGCTTAGTTGCTGGCACATAAAAAATAATCAATGCTACTTATCACTGCTGATATTAGTAATTGTAACTGTAATAAAATATAAAGTGGCTAAATATGGAGGCCCTGAAACTGGTCTATCTAATTTAAATCCTGGTTTTGTCATTTCTTAGCTTTGTAAGTTTGTGCAGACCACATAGCCTTTCTATGCCTCCATTTCTTCATGTGTATAATGGGGATAATAAGAGTAACTGCTTTGTAGGTTTGCTGGAGGATTAACTCATGTGTAAAGCCCCTGGGGTAGTGCATAATGTGTTAAGTAATCACTCAGTAAGTATAGCAGTGCTAAATACACGGCATTGCTCTTGTTTATTGTTAATAAGGCTAGTTAACAGTGGAAGCTTATAAGAATAATTCAGAATTCCATCTGTTGATTTATTAAAAATACTTACTGAATGCTTCCAATGTTCTAGAGGGCAGATTCTACAGGCATCTGAAGAACTAAGTACATAAAATTAAAATGTTTAGATTGATTGGTCAGCATAGTCTCTGAGGAGATGGTAATAACAGGAAGAGTCAACCACACAAAGATCAAAGGGAAGAGCAGATGAGGCAGAGGCAACAGCAGGAAAAGCTTCTATGGCAGTAGTAGGTGTGGCATTTTAGGTACCAGACACAGTCCAGCGTGGATGCAGGATGCCAAGCAGCAGATGTGGTACGCGACGAGATCAGAAGGGTGTAAGCCATATATTGACCAAAGACTGTAGAAAACCACCGGTGGTTCATAAGCAGGGAGGGACCCTCAATCACGACCTTACTTTATTTCATGGAGGAAACGGAAGCAAATAGAACAATATCTCTGCCATTGTCTGACCTTCAGGCTGCATCTGCACTCATATTCTCTTTGTCCTGTCGCTGTGGGTGAAGTTTCCCTGCTCCTATCCAAAGCTGACAAGCCCTCTGCTTCTGTTGGGATTCTACCCCTGCTTCTCAGGGGCATTATTATTATAATTATCTCCCTTCCTCCCATGTCATTGGTTTGTCTCTCTCTTCTGAATCATCCCCACCTGCATATAGCATCTTCTAGTATCTCCTGATCCCACAACCCACTCCAGTTTTCTGTGTTCTCATTCACAGCACAGACTCTTGAGTTGTTCGCAGTCATCCAAATCCCAGCTTCATTTTCCCATCCTACTCAAGTCAGACTCTGTCCCATCCTTTTCACCTTTGACCTTTGTTTTTCCAAAGCTAATGATTGAGCTTCTGCTTTTATATCACCTGATTGCACAGCCATATTTTCTTCTTGAAATGCCACTTTTCTTGTCTTCTGTGTTCTTTTCTGATGTTTCTTCAATTTCACTATTTGCTCCTCTTTGCTGGTTCCTTCAGGCCAGACCACAGCCATGGGTCTCCTCTGCTCCCTCCAGTTTCAAGACTATAAATACTCTGTATATTAATTACTCCAAAATCACTATCTCTAGTCTGAAATTCTTTCCAGAACTCAACATACATGTATCTAATCATTAATATTTCCTTCTACATGTATAGTAAGCATTTCAAAGCCAATCTGGCCAAGAAACTAACTGACATCATCTTTGCTTCATTCCCAAAGTTCTCTTACCTAATCTTCTTTATCTCAGCAAATGACAACTGTGCTTACCAAAATGCTCAAGGACAAAATCTCATCACCCTTTCATTCCTTTCTACTCCACTCTTATCTAGCTGATCTATCTCTTAAAGGGCTAATTAAAGTCCCTTTTGTTCCTAATTGACTAACAATTTTTGTTTTTCCTTTTTTCTTTCTATGGAGCATCTTTAATTTTATTGAATAGTTTTTCTGCATCTGTTGAAACCATACAAATGTTCTCCCCTAACCTATGCCCTGTTCTTTTTTTCACCCAGATACAAGATGCTCTCTGAATTCACCTGGCCCAACCATGACCTCCCTTCAGACAAAGAGGCTGTCAAGAAACTGATAGAAGGTTGTGGCTTTCAGGACGACGTAGCTTATGGGAAGACCAAGATTTTCATTCGTACACCCCGAACATTATTTACTTTGGAAGAACAACGTGCCCAGATGCTCGTAAGGATCGTCCTCTTTCTACAAAAGGTAACTGTATATTTATTTCAGTGCAAGGATAAGGCCTTGCTTTTATGTTTTTAAAACTTTTTCACGTTTTCTTTCATTCAGAAAGTTTTTTGTATCTGTGTATTTCTTAGAATGTTTTCTTGTTACTTTCATACAGAGAAAACTAATTTGACTGCCTGAGCTCAAAATTACTTAATCTACAAAACTAAGTATGTAGAGTGATGTCTGAATCAGCCCCCTTTGGTTTCTTGTAGGTAACTGAATTTTTCCCATTCAGCTTTATGTGCATAAAGTACTTTCTTTGCTCTTGTCATTCAAAAGTTTTGCCAACATATTCGAAACCACCTCTCTCTTCTTTGTCCCCAACCAGCAGAACTCACTGAGGTGTGGGCTAGGTGATACTCCTTAGAGCCTGCACCTGCCCTCACTCATGTATGAGGGCCCCTCTCCATTCATTCCTGCACTCGTGTATTTTTCTTTACCCCATACCCATTTTAATACCTACCGTATGAACCATCTCAATGTAAAAAATATATATACATGTATGTATAGCAGGAGAAATTTTCTGGGTCACAGGTGAAAGTTGGTGTAGCTTCTCCAGAATGACTGCAGCCTGCACTTCCACCTGCTGTCTGTGGGGTCACTGTGCACCCACATCTCTGCCATAACTGTCCTCTGACAGTTGCCAGAATAATAGCTATGATAGCTCATTGTCGTTTTACTCTATATTTCTTCGGTTGCCATTGACTATGAGTATCTCATTAAATGCTTAGTTTTCCCATAAACTGCCTGTTCATACCCTTTTCCCTGGTTAGTGTCAATTTCTTGTTGGTTCACAGGAATTCCTTGACCATTTTAAACATTAATCACTTACTCACTTTACACCCACACATACACACACTATTCTACAGAATAGAGTTCTAGTGAACTTTGCCTATAATATACTTTGTTGAACAGAATTCTTCATTTTGACATCATCACATTCTTCAGTTTTTGCCATATAACTTTGTTCTTTATCATTTTAAAGGACTTACTTCATCTCTGCGTCACAAAGATAGTATCCTGGATTGGTCCTGCCTTCACCTTTAGCACTTTCATCCATTTAGATCCCATCTCTGTGTGGCATTATGTAGGAACCATTTGACTTTATTTTGAATAGTGAATATTCTCAGTGCCTGTTCTTTTCCCATTGATTTGTGGTACCACTTTTATCCCATAGTAAATTTCTCTGTGTGTGTTCAGCCTAAGTAGTCTTGCCTGTTTTTGCACCAATGCTACAGTTTTTATTGTAATATGTCTTATTAAGGTTGATTAATGTGTCAATCCTTATTCCGCAACATAAATTTTGTTTATTGAGTTCATCAAATTCAACAATAATTTTTATTCATTGAATATACACATCAATTTGAAAGATTAATTTTATTAAGTCATCTTAAGACTATAAAATGGGCTTATTTAAATTTTCATTGACCCTTTGACTTAGAAAGTCTTTAGGGATTCATGGTTAATTCCTACGTATATTTTGGTTTTGTTGCTACAATGAATTTTTTATTATATTTTCTTCATGATAGTGTTGGTACAGAGAATATAGGATTTTGTTCCTTTATTTGTACTCAGAATGAAGCCTTTCTTAATTCCTATTTGTTGATTCTATTCCTTCTTCTGGGTAAATGATTATATCATGTGCAAATAATGAAAGTTTTCTTTCCTCCCAGTTGTCAAACTGTTTCTAAATATTGGTCTTGTATTTTTTTTTTCTGAAACTCAGAAAAACTTCTGGACTGGAATACTAAATTGTGTTTCTTCCTAAAACAGTTGTCTTCTGTTAATTGTTTTTTCCCTTATATATTGCTTTTATTCCATTCCTTTTTCTTTCTCACAAATGCTTATAAGCTGCAAGCTAGAGCTCTGTTTCCTGTCTGCCATAGTAAATTATTGTCATATATCTGTTCTTCTCTATTTTTCAAATCCTTTGTCTTAATTATGTGTGTGTAAACTCTGCTGCAGTGGCTGCCCACAGCTTCAGTGCTGAGACTTAACCCTTTATGCCACCAGGGGGGGCTCCTTCCTCCCAATTCTTAACTAGACCATTCTAGGCTATGACATATGTGATCTACAGGTTATGTTCTTTTAGACCAACCCCACAGACCATAAAATTAGTGGACATTTCTGTCAGCTTCTGGGAATCAGTCATCAGTCACCTAACCTTCCATGTGACAGGTGTTTTCACTTCTATTTCCTTTCAGAAATTTAATGGCAAGTTAGGAGAAGCATAGGCATTGAAATAGGAGATGCTATTTTAAATAAGAATCTCCAATAACTGATTTTTATTTCCTTTTAAAATGAAATCACTTTTTCTCTGATTATATAATTAAAGTATACTCGTTGCAAAAACAAATCCAAAACATGCAGAAAAACATAGAGGGAACCCAAGGAAAATTACATGAAATTTTTCTCTTAACACAACAAAATATGCCTTGTATTTTTTCTTGATATTATATCTTTAAATATTATAATCTATGACTTATTAAATATGATTTAATTTAGATTCCAATTCTGTTTTGTTCCAGATAAATAACCAACTATTCTGTTTATATAAAAATTCCTCCCTTTTTCCATAAAATTGCAATTCTTTTTGTCTTATATTTCTGTATATACTTGAATCTATTCCAGGACCCACTACTTTATTCCCCAGTTAATTTTCATGCTAATATTATACTGTGTTCATTCTAATGTATATCCTAGTGTTGTTTTAATTGGTCAGGTGTGAGAGCCTGACTTTCAGTTTAGTCTTTTACTTCTCCTGGGCCTTCATAGGTAGTACAGTGGCAGGTTGGTAGAAGCAGAGTTCAAAGTATTAATTAAGGGCCCTCCCTGGTGGCACAATGAGTTAAAGCACAGCACTAAGAAGCTAAAGCCACTTCAGCGTGAGTTCGATCCCCGCCTGCCCCGGAGGTGACCCACATGGCACGGCAGACCTCTCCTGACCCGCCCACTGCTCCCCTCAGCAGTCAGCCTGTTCTGCTCCCCACTCTGTCTCTGGTGAATCCTCTCACCACTCCTGCACCTCTGGCTTATACCCCAGTTCTTGGTGCATAAATAAATAAATCTTAAAAAAATAAAAATATTAATTAAAACTAGAACCTGCAAAACTGATTGTCCTTAAAGGAATAAATTGCATAACCACAAAGATTGCCAATGAGACATAAACTTGTGATTCCTAAAAAAAAAGTAATTTGCCGCTGTCATCATCTACACCATAACTATTCCAAACATTATAGATGATCTCTTTAGTGCATCTTTATTTTTTTCCCATATTCTTAGTCAATACTTAATATTTTAGGAAACTTTTGAAATGGTTAGAAAATGGTTATACCATTTTTTAGAAATAACCATCTAGGTATTCCATGGATTTTATGACACATAAAAATAGTGGTACAAAGTCATATAGAAAAATAAAAACAGGCCCTCCCTGGTGGCGCAGCGGGTTAAAGCACAGCACTAAGAAGCTAAAGCCACTTCTGCATGAGTTCGATCCCTGCCTGCCCTGGAGGTGACCACATGGCATGACCCACCCGCTGTTCCCCTCAGCAATGTGTTTCCTTGATCTGCCTGTTTTGCTCCCCACTGTCTTGGATGAAGCCTCTCACCACCCCGCACCTCTGGCCTGTACCCCAGTTCTATATGCATAAATAAATCTTTAAAAAAGAAAAAGAAAAAGAAAAACATGTAATTTCAAATTTAAGACTTAATTTGACATTAAATGTAAAAATAAGTTGTAGCATTCATTTTTGTTAGGTTACACATGTAAACACTAATTTACATATTTACAGTTGACTTTGTTCTTGACATGATACACTATACTTTCCCCAGTCAGTCTGTTAATACTGAACATTTAAGTAATAATTGCCACTTTTTTACTCTTGCACTCCCAATGTGGTGGTATCTGTTTACTTAGAGTAATACTGATGCAAAGTTCAATAAATGTTAGCTGTTGTTATTATTAGCACTGTCACTACTATTAGGTATTTTTAAACAACCTTGACTGTTTTCTGGGAGTAAATTCTCAGGCATGAAATTGTTGATATAAAAGATACACACTTTAAAGATCTTTATACCTACTAATAAATCACTTTCAGAACAATTGCACCAATTTATATCCCCATCAGCTAATGCATGAAAGAGCTTATATCACTGAAATTCTCAATATTTCATCTTATAAACACCCTTTTTGAAAAAAAGCGTGCTTTGTCAAAATGTTGGAAAAGGCATTTTCTCAAAAGCCCCACTTGTGGTATATGCTTCTTTCATCATTAAATTAAAAGAAATGACTTAGTGTAACAGTGAGATTTTTTTTTTAATCATTCTTCTTTCACAATATATATTGCTTCTCTTATTCACTCGCCCTCTACCTTTGAGTCTGTGTAAATGTTCCTTGCTTCACATTTGAACAAGAAGTTAAATAAGAAAGGATTTCTAGACAGCTTGGAAAGAACTAAAGTTTCCAGAATGACAGCATTAAGCAAAGAGGCACTGGGAAGCTGATCAGATCAGTTCAACAGCACATACATGGTGCTGAGGGTCTGGTGAGGCAGACCTTATCAAATGGATTTTGTTCTTTGAGCTTTTTTTCTTCTTTAACCTGGACTTTTCTGGTTTCAGATATAATTCACCTTCTGTGTGTCATTAATTGGTTGCTTGGTTGGAGAAATCCAAAAGAGACTAGTTGTAGCTGTTACCTAGCACTTAATAGTTAGCTGACTTTAATAAAAATAGTGTACCAAGTACCTTAGAATAGTGTACCAAGTGCATTAGAATATTTTTACCTACCCATTTAGCTTAAAATATTTTGTTGTTTTGGAAGAAGAACTTATTTTTTTGGTGCATGTATAGTTTAAAACCTATGTTCTCATTCTGAAGAATCATAGATTAAGATCAAAACTGTCATATAAAGTGAATATTAAAGATGAATTCTCAAGGACAGATGGAAAAGTATTTAAGTTTATCTCTTGTGTGACCAT